GAAATGACAGTGAAACAGCCAAGTTCATATTTTTTTTTTAAGATTTATTTTATTTATTATTATTATTTAGACTGATGTTAATAGTGTTTTATTTAACAGATGGCAGGCAAAGGGAAATCAAGTGCAATTATGCGAGCAGTTCGTGAAGAGGCTGAACATCAAGAGCGCGAGCGCGAGCGCATGACTATGTCTACACGACGTAGGCGAGAGGCTGAGAGAGCTGGTGAAGCCAGATCATCAGTTCCACATCCCGATGTTGGGTCTTCTCGTGCTATGGAGGAGGAGGAATATGTGGCCCCCGTTCACGAGACTGAGGTTGTAGGTCGTGGAGGTCGTAGAGGTCGTGGAGGCCGAGGACGGGGCCGTGGAGGTCGACCTTATACTCGAGTCAATCCGGATGTGCTAGATGGTCCATTTCCCGGTGGCCCGCGGGATCCGTCTTTGATACCGAGTTTCAAGTCGCACGTAGCGGCATATATTTGGAGGGGAGAAGTAAGTTAATTACTTGTTTTAATTTTAATATTATAATTTTTGTATCTTCTATTAAAATATTTTTATAGTTGATTAATTAATATGTTTTCTAAATAAATGATTGCAGGAACGTCCGGTTGGACGAGTGGAGTCCCGTATCAACTCCCTGAACCAATTCAACTACGAGAAGATAGCAGATGCCCTAGAAGACGTAGATGTATCCGTAGACAAGCATTTTCTGCGGATGACCGGTTTGTATCCCCTAGCCCGATGTTATTTACAGGGCCTAGATATTCCGCTGTTGTTTGCATTTGTGGAGCGGTGGCAGCCGGAGACGAACAACTTCCATATGCCGTGGGGAGAGATGACTATCACTCTCCACGATGTCCAGATGATTCTAGGTGCCAATGTGGAGGGACGGGTGGTCGCGCCTAGGTACGACGATGCCACCGAGCGGACAAACTGCGTGTATTTGCTGTCCGAGGCCTTAAACCTCGAGTTTGAGGAGATTGACGAGTCGTGGAAGCATGGGGGCCCCACATGGAGGATGTTACAGGGACAGTTGTTGATGCCCGACACGCCCATGAGACGCCGAGTTCAGATATACCTGGTGTTTCTCCTCGGATCGATTTTATTCCCCGACAAGACATGTGATCGGGTGAAACCGTGGTATATACACGAGAGTATCCCTCGTACGTTGTATCATGGCACGATCCAGTACATGTGGGTCGTAGAGCCGTATATGCCTGATCGTTGCGTCCGACAGTTTGGATGGGTTCAGGATATACCACGCGGCTTGATTCCGTCGATGGAGCCATGTTCACGCGGTCCCAAAGGAGGTACATCGTACAAAGTCAACTACCCATTTCCGGGTGGGATGTGGGACATGGTCCAGGCTCATTCCATTCATGCCCGCGCATACAAGACGGCACGACAACGGGGGGAAGTCGACGAGCACTACATGGAGTGGTATACCGATCGGACTCATCCGAAGATCAACAACCCCGACGTAGGCCCGGCTCCAGTGCATCGAGAGAATGTGAGGCCACCAGATCAGCCGGCTTTTTACCAGGTAGTACGTGCCCTGTACCCGATCACCAGGAGCACTGGACAGGACTGGATGCAGCAGTTTGCCGATCTACGTGCCGATCTTGGAGATATTATGCAGCCCGCCGCCCGATATCTTGGCATCGACCGTGACAACGACGACGACGATGACGACGACGACGATCATGAGGTGCAGCCGCCGAGGAGAGCGAGGCGGTAGTTTATCGGTTTTTTTTGCCAGTTATATATTTTTATGAACTATTTAATTTTAAAGTTTATTTTTATTATTATTAGGACTATGCATTTTTATTATTGTTAGGAACTATTTAATTTAATAATTTATTTTAATTTTTAATTAGGAACTAATTATTTTACTAATTTTGTTTATTATTATTACGAACTATTTAATTTACTAGTTTGTTGTTTTGTATTTTAATTCACTAGTTTTATTATTTGAATTTAGAAACTACGTACAACTGAAGCAATTAAAGTACATATTTAAACAACCTTACAAACAATCTTACAAATTTAATACATTCCAAAAACATAGATTAAACATATAAAATGCAAAACACAACGCTACAAATTTAAATATTCCAAAACATAAGTTTGAATGCAAAATTAAAACAAATATAAATTTAAACATAAGTTACCATTACTCAAATACCCGGCAGATGGTTATGATTACCATTACTCACACTCAATCGCCATAATCCATCCTCCGTTGATTTTTTGCCAATTAACCTGAACGGACAAGAACGTTTCTTCAATAGTCCGTGTCGTCCAGATTGATATCTTGCACACGTTAAAACATGATATTTTTCTGATTTACGATGATTAATCAGTCGATGATTATGACTAATTGCTGTGTCTTTTGCCCACATAATTAACGCTTCTCTACTATCACACACAATACCACGTTCAAAGAAGTGACTATGATCGTGAGATTGTTCTCTTAGTTCCTGCATAAATATTTAAAATTAAAAGACAATATTTAAGGGATTTCGTAGAAAAACCTACGAAATGTAACCTACATTTCGTGTAAACACACACGAAATAATAGCTTCCATTTCGTAGGTTTTACCACGAAATGTAAGCTTCCATTTCGTGTGATTGTCTACGAAACAAACAACTAACGATTTTAAGACATATTTCGTATAGTATTACACGAAATGAAAGCATATATTTCGTGTGTTATGACACGAAATAGCTAAAAACGTTGGAAACGAACAAAAAACGTGTATTTTCACCTCAAAATCGAAGCCGTTGTCATCCATGTCGATAATACTTGTGCTCTAACTGATATTGGTCGAAAAAATACTAAAATTGATAAATTTTAAGAATAAAAGGTTGAGAGTGTTTGAGAGGGTATTTGGATAAGATTTGGAAAAGAAAAAAAAATGAATTATTTTGCACTGCGAGTGGTAAAAGTCGCACTGATAATAGCAAGCCCCATTTCAGACAAGGAGAAGTGTGTATTAGTCGCGAAACGCAATCCAACGTGTGGCTCGAAAGAGGCGCCCACGTGGCACACTTTGAATTTCATGTGGACAAGCTTCACACTTTGTTGCTGAATTTTCTTTCTTTCTCTTCCAATTGATCTCTCTCTCTCTCTCTCCTCTCTCCAATCCCATAGGAGTAGATCCCAACGAATCTTCTCTTTCCCTCATCAACAAAATCCCACTCTCTTTTTTTTTTTTTAATTCCCAACAACCAATCAAACTTTTCGATTTCTCTGGGTTTTATTTTTTTTTTCAATAGAAAAAAAAAATGAGAGCTTTGAATTCCCATTTCGTGCTGATCGATCTGCACACTTCGTGGCACTCATCTCAGCAGATTCCCAATTCCACCTTCTCCTACCTCGACAAATGCAGATCGGCGGCGGCGGGTCCTTCTTTCTCTGCCGCATTTCGTCGAGCACGTGGCAGGACCGGGAGGATCTCGTCGTCCATGGCGCCGGAGATTCGCCGGCCGATGAATTTTTCCACGGCGGGAAATGGGTTCTTCTCGTTTTCTTCCAGCACGGCCTCCACTTCGAGTTCCGGCGATGATATGGCGGCCAATTCCGACATGGATTTGTTTCTTGAAATTGTGCCTTTGAGGATGAGGCAAGAGCTCTTCAGGCACGAAGACATTATGCAGTTGATTGAGGTTGTTATGGATTTGGGAAGGAAGCCCCTTGCTCGATTTCCGACCGGTGATTGGGTCATCTCGGAACAGACGGTCCAGATTGAGGATCTAACCCATGCTATCTCAAAGGTTGTTTGTCTTAATAACCTATATCATATATAATTGTGAAAAATCATATTGTATGTAAAATAAGTGGTTTCTATGTGTTAAAGCTTTTTATTTGTGAGGTGGGATTTTAGTGGTGAAGTTAATTGGTGGTGTTTAGGTAGGTGATTTCTCCGATGACAATCGTTCGGGGATTAATCACTCTCTACATCGCATAAGTGCTATCAGAAATCGGAAAATGCAAATTATAGGCCTTACTTGCCGTGTGGGTCGAGCTGTTTCTGGAAGCGCTGAAATTATACGGGACCTCGTCGAAAGTGGAGGGTCCATCTTGGTAATCGGGCCTCCGGGAGTTGGCAAAACAACATTAATCAGGTATGCGTTGTCTCGATCACCGAATAAAATGTACGACAATATGTTAAAAATGGTTTCTTGAATCTCGTTTTGTTCGTTTACGGTAATATATCTAGTAAAATGTGCCAATGATAACTTCGATAAAATAATAGTAATAGTAATCAAGTTGGTTAACTATTGTCGGATTTCTTGCAGAGAAACTGCGAGAATATTGGCCGATGACCAGAGAAAACGAGTAGTTATTGTCGATACGTCGAATGAAATAGGTGGCGATGGGGATGTGCCTCATTCGGGTATCGGACGTGCTAGAAGGATGCAAGTACCTAATGTTCACATGCAGCATAATGTGAGTGCTGGATTAGCCCACCTCGTGTTTGTATTACGCTTCGCCGGAAGATTTTACTAATTTATCCTTCTGAGCAGGTGATGATCGAAGCGGTTGAAAACCACATGCCGGAAACTATTATAATCGATGAAATCGGAACGGAGCTCGAGGCGTTGGCTGCTAGTACAATTGCTCAAAGAGGAGTACAGCTTGTTGGCACGGCTCACGGGATTACGATAGAGAGCATTATAAAGAATCCTTCTTTGCAGATCCTTGTCGGTGGAATAGAGGTGTGGGAAACGTACGATTATTTAAAAAAATATTTCCGATTAAAAAAAATCGAATAAATAATATTTTTTCTACTTATCGTTCGAAAAACAGAGTGTTACTTTGGGCGACGAGGAAGCACGAAAGAGGAAAGTGCAGAAAACTATACTCGAAAGAAAAGGACCTCCTTCGTTTACATGTGCGGTTGAGATGATCTCCAAAACCGAGTGTCACGTTCATCATAGACTAGATGCCACTGTGGATGCTTTGCTGGCGGGTATTTAGTTATTATTATTTTTATTATTTTTTTAATTTATGAATTAATCGTCACCTACTGAAAAGTTCCGTTTTTATATGTCAGGAAAATCCCCGTTGTTTGAAATCCGACGTGTAAACGATGAAGCTAGTAATTCTTCAATACCGAATCAACTAACTGAAGAAGATTGCATTAGAGATGCTGAGGTGGCACCGAGGAAATCCCGGTTGACTAAAGTCAACAAAAGAGTAGAACCTGAAGCTAACAATTCATCGAAATCGAGTCAACCAATTAAAGAAGACCATGTGGAAGAGGCGAAAGTGACAGTCGACGAAAAAGATCAGACCGATGAAGAGCCTATCAAGAAAGACGAAGTGCACTACCCTAAGCCCAAGAAAGTCGTATCTAACGTGCCTGTGAGCAAAAATAGCAAAAATACGTACCCGTTATACGTATACACTTACAAGGTGCTTTTTTGACATAAGGTTTCGTTTTTTTCTTTATATACGAAATATGATCGAGGAGTAATGATATATTATTATAACTTTCAGATCCAAGAAACAGATTTGCTACAAGTAGCGGCTGTGATGGGGATCGAGGATAAAATCGACATAACCGATGATATTGGAGCTGCAGATGCTATTTTGGCATCGAGTCATGAAATGAAACAGAATCCTTGGATTCGTGGTGTGGCGAAGTTTCATCAGTTGCCTGTATTTGTTATCAAGGTATTCTCGTAATTTTTACGACCCCCGTGTAAAGATGATTCTTTTTTTTTTTTTGTTTTTTTAATGGTCAATATATTTTGGTTAAAAAATTGCAGTCGACTGCAATGGCGCAAATGGTGAAGGCGGTGCGAATGATTCTTGGTATGGATAAATTTAGCTCTACTCAAAAGCAATCGATCGGAAATTCTCTCGATATCGAGATTGAAGATGACATGCCGAAGAGAAAGCCATCATTGGAGGAGATTGATGCCTTGGAGGTGCATAACTTTCTCTCTTATTTTATTTAATTCTTTTTTTTTTTTTTTTTTTTTTTTTTTACGATACAATAGTGGGTCTTGAATTATATTTAGTACGACATGGAACTCACGATTTCCGGTGAAGTCATCTGCACGACACCGAATATATAATCAATTTTCTTGAAAAAATTTCGTGAAAAATGCATGCCTTCTATTTTTATTCCATTTGTTCGATAAAAAAATCGTGTCTTGTAAAACATTTCGCTATTTCTGAGCGACTTATCTTGATTTTTTTTTTGGGAATTATAGGAAGTGCGACTTGCGATAGAGTACATAGTGATACCGGGCGGTGAGCCAGTGGAACTTCTGCCGAGGCGATCCGAAATTGTTGCTCGACAACTTGAGCTGGTCGAGAGTTATCAGTTAGCTGCTGAAAACTCGGGAACCGATTCGAACCCTAGACTTCAAATCCTTCCTCAGAAACTGAACAAGAAAAAACCGAGGCCCGTTTCGAGTTTCGTCAAGCTCGCGGTCCCCAACATAGTGCCAGGTGGCGGTACGAGTGTTGGTAAGCTACCGTTTCTGCGTGAATAAAAAATTCAGCAAAAATCATCAGAAGTTGCAGTACAGATTCATTTCATTTCAACCAGTGGTTGATGTACATTCAAACTCTTGTACAGTTTGTGTAATTAAATGTATTTTATTTTTTCTTATGTAATAACTGATTGCTTTAATACACTGTGACAAAATTGATACAATGTATAGATATTGCAGTTCAGATAAATAAAAATGCTCTTTAATTTATTCCTCTTATAAGATTTTGCAACTTTACTTTATTGGCTACTTAAACTATAATTCATCTCAAAAGAAAAAAAAAAAGAATAACTCCATAATCGGAATTTGGAAGTACGTGCGTGTGCGCGTGATTTAAGAAATTTTCGAGAGTAAGAAATTTTTTTCCCCACTTCCGATTTTATTTTTTGAACGCAATTGGATTTGATTCCCCACTTCCAAAAAAAAAAGAAGGAATTTTTCAGAATTCCGCCGTATCTCCGTCCGATTTCCACACATCCATATACACTACAACGACAAACTTCACGAACTTTCCGTTATCCTTTATTGAAATTTTAACGAGTTAAAACCGAAAATCGTCCTCAAATGCTCTAACCAAATTCTCAAAGTAAGTTTCGGCGGCACAAGTAAGGTTCGTCCGGCGAAAAATCGTTGAAATCGGGCAAAGGATGACGGATGCATTCGAAAAGTGCCATCTTCTTCGAAAAGTCAACGAAATTCAAACGCACCCCCTCCCGCAATCGAAATACCCCAAGGGATTTTTTTCATAAGGTGTATTTCACACATGACACTTAATTTATTGTATTATTATGTCAAAATAATTAGAATTACTAATTTAATTGTAGTTTCTTATGCACTATTATTGTAAATAAAGCATATCGTAGTAATGAAGAGGGATAATTAAATTTTGGTCCCTATATTATACACATTTTCTAATTTTGGTCCTTAAATTCTTTTTGCCACGAAATTGGTCCTCAAACAATTGACTTTTTACATTTTTGGTCCCTCTATTTGAGGACCAATTTCGTAGCAGAAAAATATTAAGGACTAAAATAAAAAACGATGTATAATATAGGGACCAAAACTGTAAACAAAGAATATAAAATAGAGATATAAATAGACGAAGATAACCGCCCAAAATCCAAAATCAGAAAAAAATCCAAAAGAAGGAAAACTTAAAATGGCGGACGAATGTTGGGCGATCGTTATGGAAAGCACGAAAATTTTGCGATTGTTCAAAAATGAGGTGATCGATGAGCTCAATCCAACCGTGTTAGAGCGGTTATTACGGTAAAATTTGGCTTCTTTGTTTTTTTTTTTTCATAATTAGGGTTCATACCGTAAGATTTGGTTTCCTTGTTTGGTTTCCTTGTTTTTTTTTTCCATAATTAGGGTTCATAATTGTGTCCATAATTAGGGTTCATTTGTGCATAATTAGGGTTGAGATTGTGTGGGTCTTTCTAAAAAGATAGGCTGTGTCAGTCGTATGTTAGGAACAGAGAACAGAATTGAAGAAATCGAACTGAATTTGGTACTGCGTAAGGGAAAAACCCTCTCTGATCCTTGATGCCTTACAATTGCCTAACTAACTCCTATCTATAGAATACTTAGGCTAACTAACAGCTAGATTTAGCAGCTAACAACTAGCCCACGTGTGTCGTCCAATTGGTGCTCCGATTCAGCCTCTTTTCCCCTTTACTCGCGATAATGAAACACGTCTTTGTAAGTGAAAACGCGTCTCTTCCTTTACATCCAAACGGCACCGTTTTGTGGCTAACGGTCATAACCGTTACAAACCTTCCTCCTTCAAAGACACGACCTCATGGCTGAAACGAGGGAAACTTGCGTAAGATCTCTTCACTGTCTTCCCAGGTGGCTTCTTCCTCCGGCAGATGGGCCCACTGAATCAACATTTGTCTAACTGCCGCGTTATTCCTCTTGACCATTCTTCGAGCTAACAATCTTACCGGAGTTAACAACAATTCTCCAGATCCGTCATAGGTGGCAGCTCACTCACCACCCTATGTCCCTATCTTGATGCCCTACTTGCGTCTTTAACAAGGATACATGGAAAACTGGGTGTACCTTGGCTGTGTCCGGCAATTTTAACTAGTATGCTACTTCCCCAATTCTTTTGAGTACCTCAAAGGGGCCACAGAACGCAAACTCTTCCTTCTTATTCTTAGGGGTAGACCCTATGGCAACTCCCAATGTCAGGTCCAACTTCGACGTTCAAGCTTTCCCCAGCCCCTTCTCATCAATGGACTCCTGACGTATACGAAGGAGTGCGTGTATTTCCAATACACCTGGTGAAAGTCCTAGCGATAGGATCGCAGATATAGTAGCAGCCACACGAGTCTCTTTATATTCGCGACTCTTGCTTTCCTCACAATAGCCCTAGACCAAGGGACAATTAGCGTTTAGCACTTAAAGCCGCTAGAAAGAATAAAAGAATGCCACTACAAAGACAGAGACTGGCACGAACGAAGACTGTCTTCTCGCTGAAAAGGAGCCATTTAACCTATCTCCAAAAGCGACTTCAAAACTTTACGGGCCTTGTCTCGCTTAACTCGTCGAGTAGTGATTATCTCGGAATGAAGATCTGTTCGAAAAGTCTCGCCGTATAGTATCAAGCGACTTTCCTTTTAGTCGATCGGCGGATAGCGGAAAGGTGAGCATTTATCCAACAACGGTAAGCGGATAGGCCGCCGGGTCGTGCTAATTCCATACGAATCAGTACTGAAAAGCATGTGCCCATCGTCGACCAAGGGCTGGACTCACTGATGTTGTTGCAAGGGAATAGCTTTCCGGTTGTCGCCAAAGGACCCTCTCCTCTCACGGCCGAAGGCTCTCCCCATCGATCGAGGGCTTCTCTTTTTCCGATTGAAACTACTTTTACGCCATACGAACGGACAAAGGCGCCCCTTTCTCGCGTAAAAGCGATCAGAATTCGAACACGCCGCGTTTTACTGGGAAGTTTGACCTGACCTAGTTTTCAAAGGCTTGATTGCCCCCCTACAAAAATGGACCCCTATTTTGAAGAGGAAGGCTCCCGGGTTCCGCATCTTAAAAAAGTACTCGGTCAAGTCTGATTCCAACCAACCCAACAAAAGCTTTACAACCGGTTTACAACCGGAATAAGGAACCTTTTCTTCGGGAAGGCATATAAGGGAGAAAGCTTCAAGTCGTTACGCGAGAGGGTGTAGATGCTGCTCGATCGAGCCAACTTGTTTGTCTGGGAAAAAAGAGTCATTCTAGACCCAATTGGAAAGATTGAATTGAAAGCAAGATCCATTGCTCGATTTTGCTGCATGCTCTGCTCCCAAAATGCAGAGAAGACTTGCGAGTGGGCAGAAATCAACCAGCGGCTAGGGAAGACGATCCAGTTTCATCTCCGGGGAGGAACTTTCAACTGAACTGATTAATCTAGAAAGCGAGGAAATTACCTCGTGTCGGAGGAGTTTTGAGCGTGAGCTACCACTCATGCAGCGGCAAGGACCCGCAACTCTCGAAGGGGCTACCAACCGCCCGAATCACTTAGTCATTCAGCAACGGAATCTGTCTATCCACAGATCCATCATTCATTCCAGTTTTTAGTCTATCGCTCCGTGGGTATGAGATGCCAAAGAGAAAAGGAACGAGGAAAAGAATCGACGAAGAAGAGAAGAGAAAATCGTGAATGGAAAAGCGTGAACAGAGTACTCAAAACGAGATGTTAGAAGGTCGGCGAACGAATTTAGTGACGAGTTACGGCTGAAGCTTGGGTGAAACTAAGTGGAGGTCCGAACCGACTGATGTTGAAGAATCAGCGGATGAGTTGTGGTTAGGGGTGAAATGCCACTCGAACCCAGAGCTAGCTGGTTCTCCCCGAAATGCGTTGAGGCGCAGCAGTTGACTGGACATCTAGGGGAATTACTGCAACGGTTTGTACAAGTCTTTTTATTTCACTAATTACTACTATTCCAGATACATCCTGGTATGGGATCGTTTGGACTACAAAATCAAATCAGATTCTAGAGCAAGATTTGATAAGTAATAGTCAACAAATTGTCCATCGGCCACGAAGTCCTCTTTTCTGATTTTAGGGGCTGATGCCCTGTTTGTTCCGGAATCTCTTATATAGTGTGATCGAGTGTCGGCTGCTACCGACCCGTTCCGAGAAGCTTCTTCCCTTGAATGACTCTTTTCTGTCAGTAAGTGATTAAATAGACCCTCCTAAGCAAATACCCCCTAGCTCCCTATGCTATGCTCCCCCGGCGCAGGCCTACCACCGCCCCCGAGTCAGATATCGAATAGAAAATCATGCTTTGAATTCTTTTTTTTTTTTCTTCGATAGGTCAATCATCCACTCTTGAATGAAAGGTATACTATCGGATACAATTGTTCTATGTTCAAGCAATTGGTATCATTGGATCCTTCCGAAGTAGGCGAAGCTTGAGTTGCTGACCTGAACGCTTTGGCTCTTTGCTAGACAGCAGCAGGAAAGGAAGCATCAAATTGCATGTGAATGATTAGGGTTCTGACTCTAGAAGGGAAGACTTGAAGTTTTCTTGAGAAGGAATGTTCATTAGAAAAACGTTCCCTTTCGTGTGAATTCCCCAGCGGCGAATTCAAAACTTGGTCATTCTAAGAGAAAAAGGAATGGCCCAAGAGTTGGGAAAGGAAGTGGTCACCTGCCTATGTGAAGGCGGGCGGAAAGTTCTCGAGACCTGCCCTTGCTGCGGGGGCAACGGGTCTAGTGACACCGGACCCATTTTTAGACCGTCTCCTGAACCGTTCTCTGATCCATTCTTTAGGTGAGAGGAAACCTTCTCTTTAAAAATGAATGGAAGGTCAAAAATAGGAACCAAATGAAACTGATTCCATACGAGTCAGTCTGTCAGTTGCAGCTAACAGATCTTGGTCACTGCATCAGCTCGATGTCAAAAGCGTCCTTTTCCGAACCTTAGAATCACTCGATAGTGGGGAAGTTTGTCCATCCATGGCAAAGGATCGAACTTGAACTCTTTCCGGCTGAGAAGAGCCTTTTTCAATTCATTTTTGCAGGTGAGGCCTTCGCCAACTTTGATAGGCATAGCATTGCAAGGTCTCTCTTCCCGCACTCCGACCGACAACGATTGTGACAGCTTTTATAGGATATGTACTACCTTGGGGTCAGATGAGTTTTTGGGGAGCTACAGTAATTACAAGCTTAGCTAGCGCATTTGTGAAATTCTCCCAAAACCGATCCATCTGCCTTTCTCTCTACTCTGTTCACGCTTTTTCATTCACGATTTTCTCTTCTCTTCTTCGTCGATTCTTTTCCTCGTTCCTTTTCCCCTCCATCCCAACTGTCTCATCTGGATGAGAGAACGAAAACAGCTCCTGTAGGGTAATAGTGGCACGGGAAGTCCTTTATGGCCGCCATTACTGCCTCCTTCTCTCGAGGATCCACCATTACCCCATAATTATTCTCCGTTTGCCTATGCATGGGTATAGTATATGTGTTACTTACCTCCGGCCGCCCTCGCGGCAGTTGCGCCGCTAGATTTCCCGGTGAGCTGCCCCCAATTGTCGGCTCCTTTCCATGGCGCCCTGCTATCAATTTCCCCAACTCGTCAAATCGCTTGAATACTTCATCAAATCGAGTATCCTTCTTCTTCTGTGCTGCGCCAATTTTCTCCTCAAAGTCCGATTGTAACTCCGATCGCAGATTCTGTTGTCCTCCGAATAAGCTCGCGACGTGTTGTTCCATGGATTTCACCTGATCCTCCATTGTTACCAGCTGCTGCTCCACTGCTTCCATCCGTGCGTTGTTCGTCTTCGCCATTGGTAGGGTTTCAGCGTGCGTTCGGTGCCAGGAATAGGCTCTGATGGCCACTTGTTAGGAACAGAGAACAGAATTGAAGAAATCGAACTGAATTTGGTATTGCGTAAGGGAAAAACCCTCTCTGATCCTTGATGCCTTACAATTGCCTAACTAACTCCTATTTATAGATACTTAGGCTAACTAACAGCTAGATTTAGCAGCTAACAACTAGTCCACGTGTCGTCGTCCAATTGGTGCTCCGATTCAGCCTCTTTTCCCCTTTACTCGCGATAATGAAACACGTCTTTGTAAGTGAAAACGCGTCTCTTCCTTTACATCCAAACGGCACCGTTTTGTGGCTAACGGTCATAACCGTTACATCGTACTCCAATGTTTTGTTGGAATTTTCAATTTTCTTCTTCCACCTTCCTGATTCTTTTTTCACAGGACAATACGAGAAATGGCCACACATTTCCCGGATCAGCTTTATCATTCTTACCCGGATATTTTTAGAGGATACATATTGACGGTAAGTATTTAAAGTCAAAAAATCTGATTTTTGTTTAAGATTAAACTATTTCACATAAGTACATTTTATGTGTTTGCATGTTTTTTAAGGTTCTCGATTCTTTGAGAGGGAGGGAGGGTAAAGCCCTTCTAGCTGATTTTCTGAAAGAATGGAGGCGTCATAATTGGATGATGGTTACGTTATCACCATCACTGGAAGATCTTGTTGTACCCCACGATTCGTTGCCTCTAAATCAAGTTGGGAACGAATGTTTCTCAAATGTGGTAAGTTTGATTAACCTGTTTTTTCCATGATGTCAATCTCTCATTCTTCCTTTTCACTTCATTTTTTGAAATTATTGAATTTTAATTTTGATTTTAGGTGTATAAGGAACTCAAAGTTGAAATACTTGATGCTACATCATCTCTAGTACGTTGCATTTATTGTATATATTAAATTTATTCCTTATTTTTGAAGTTTCTAATAAATGTTGTTTTTTTAGATTGATGGATTACGACAACAAAATGGAAAAATGGGCGATCATTTTCTTATGAAGAGGTTACTAACTTCGATTCATGAGATCGGAGTTAGAGATGACTTTGAGTTGGAGCTGAAGAATGTTGTACGTGCGGTTTGTAGCCAGAGAGCTTCGGGCTGGATTGAAAATGGAACTTTAGTGGAGTACATGGTGGAGGTAACATGTTTTCCTTTTCAATTCATTTCGAACCTTTAGAAAACTCATTTATATTTGAACCTATTTTTCTTATTTCCAGGCCAAAGAGTATATGAGAAAAGAGAATGACTTAATTTGTTCCCATCTTGCTTATCTTCGTGAAAATAGTAAGAGAAATTTTCTTAAGGTTTGTTCTTTCTATCACTATACGTGGCTTGTGTATTAGCATCCTTGTTTGTTGATATCTCCCATGGTCCTTAACATAAAGGTTCTCATTCAATTTAGTTAATCTTTATGTGGTGATGTTTTCTAATAGGTAGTACAAAATCAGTTGTTGTCTACATATATCAACAGACTGTTGGAGATAGGGCACTCAGGTCCTTCACTTAAGGAAAACAAGGTACAAAAAGTTCACGTTAACAAAATTTTCTTACTTCATATGTTGTATAATGCTCGACATATTTGTTATACACAGAAAATCCAGCTACAATAAGGGGAAACTTACTAGGAATATCCTAGCCAAATCAGTCAAATCCTAGGAATACAAGCTGTTACAAGATTTCTTAAAAAAATAGCTAACTGCCATGTGTGCAGTACAAGTCTCAGAGTTAGTATGAAATCAATCATTATATTGAATTGGATGTTTATTTGAGCTGTGCTCGCTGACCATAAATCCCGGCATTTTCATCTATTAGTTGGAGCATTTTTCATGGATATTCTCTTCGGAAAAAATGCCGCAAGGGCTGAAGTCCGTTGCTGATAATTTTGAGCAGCACATCATGGCTGAAGTTGCTTTGGTTAAAGAGGTGGAAGACGATGCACACAAAATGGTTTGTATTAGTTAGTTTTTAAGTTTTAAATTTTTTTTCAGTTTTCATTTTTATGTGACATCACTGCAGTAACAACCACTGCAAGTATTGTCATGTATACTGATTCTTGTTTCCATTTAGTTTTGGAACATAAGATTTTGAAAGCTTCCTTTCTTGCAATTACTTCTTTTTATTTTAGCAGATGTTTCTAATGTATCATTGAGTTTCACTAGTATTTACCATATGTGATATGCGATCTTCGTGGTTGTATGCTACTTTTTTTGTTTTTTTAATGTGGCAATAAGCTGAATATAAAATGAATCCAATAAGTGCGATTGGTAGTGATATCGGAACATGTTATGAGTTGCTTATTGCTGATCACATTGTGTGTTTTAGAAACTTTTGGCTCAATTATCATGACCTTGGTCCATCAAACAGTTTCCCCTAGTTTTCTATGTGTTTGTAGCTTTTACCTAATTTTCTAAAAATTATATGATGATCAAGTTCTTAAAAGTATCTTTTTGTGGGTACTGTAGTATGACATATTGTGTTTTTTGTACTCTTTAACCTTGACCTCTTATTTCTCCTCTAACGATATTTGTTGACGTGACTTTTCGAGGACTAAAACATTGATTACAAGTTGTCATTTAGCCTTTGGTTAATTTTTCCACTAGGTGTACTTAAATACGTTGATGTCTTATTACATGAATTTCTTGGTTTTTTATTAGTATTGAATTAAGTTGTGTTGCAATCCAGATTTTCATGCGAAAAATAATGAGTCTTCACAGGAAATTCAAAACTTATGTGAATGACTGTTTGCTAGAGCACGATCTCTTCCACGAGGTTAGGATTATGAAATTTTTCATTTTTGTTTTAGGTGGTATTGGCTCTGGCAACTTAACCACTTTCATGCTTCCTGTGTACAGGCTATCCGTCGCGTATTTTCAGGCATCTGTAACGTGGATATAGCTGGAAGTTCTCCAGCTGAACTCCTTGCCCTGTTTTGTAACGATGTTCTGAAGCGTAAAAAGGAAAACGTGCTTGGAGAAGATATTGAAACCACACTTGAACATGTGTGTTTCTTGAACAATATTTGTGTTTATTATAAGCATTGCCACATTGATGTATTTATAATCTTTCAGGTAATAGAAGTGCTGGTCCTTATCGAGGATAAGAGATTATTTGCTGAATCATATGTGTGAGTGATGGATTGGTGTTTTTAAATGTCGTATAAGATTGGTGGATTGTTTTATTCTTGTTGCTGTTGTTGACAGGAGATCTCTTGCACTGCGCTTATTATATGATGCAAGTATTGGTGTGGAGATTGAGAGAAGTATGATGAAAAGATTGAAGGGTCTACTTGACTACCGACTTATTACGAAAATGGAGACAATGGTAAGCTCTCATATTGTGACCTATCCGTACGATTAGTCATATATTAGTAAAAGAAACATATACTAAAGTGTAATATTAATTTCTTGGGTACTTTGTCAAATGTTGCAGTTCAAAGATTTACAAATATCGAGTGAGACTGACGCGGAATATAAGGAACATGTCACCAATAATCCCGAGGAAGATCCAGGGATTGACTTTTCGATGACTCTCCTCAGTATGGGTCGATGGCCTAGTTTCAAGCTGTTTGATCTAAATCTTCCGGAGGAAATGGTATGTATATAGATGTGAAAGATGTTTGTTGTGGAAGAACATTTTTATCACTGACTATTTTCATTTTTCATTTACTAGGAAAGGTGCATCGAGAAATATAGCACGTTCTTCAGAAGAGAAGAAAAACCCAAAAGGCTTAGGTGCGTTTATTCTATGGGCACGTGCGATATCGATGCACATTTTGAAGAAACAACACTGAAGCTAAAGATGACGACTGCTCAGGTAATTTAGGAAAATAAATAAATTATTCAAGCTTGATTGATTCATAAGTATTATATTTATTTTTATCCAAACCCTATATTCCTTTTCTAGGCTGCCGTCCTCGTTCAGTTCAATGCTTCTGAAAGATTGAGCTGTCAACAAATTATGGATCAACTGAAACTATCACATCAAGTTGTTGCGAAGCTGCTTCGATCTCTTTCATCCACAAATTGTCAAATTCTGCTCAAGGAGTCAGGCACCGAAGAGGTTTCTCTGACTGACGTTTTTTTATACAATTCCAAGTTCACTAGCAAACTGGAATTGGTCAGGGTACGTATGTCAATATGGTGTGTGTGTGTGAAAGCGGGTGAAAGACAAGGTATTTTTAATTACCAAAGTATTTTAATTCATTCCCGGAATGCAGGTCCCTCTCCCATGTGAGAAACATATAATTTCTGTGGACATATTGAGTACAACCAGGTGTGCTATCATTCGTGTCATGAAGTCTAGGAAAGTCTTTGGCTACGAGCAGTTAGTAACAGAGTGCATTAACCAGCTGCAACATTTATTCGAGGTATACCTCTAGAATTTATTTCCAAACTAATGGTTGATTACACTCACGTGCTTAGTATTTCGGTGGATTTTAACTGCCTTTTTTTTTTCTCCGATATATTTTTCTATTTTCTATGTTGCTGAAATGTCACTTTTGCATTTTGTAGCCCAGGATTGCTAACATCAAGATATGCATTGAAGCACTTATCAGTGAAGGATTTTTGGAAAGAGGCAAGTTCGACCGCAAGTTATTGAAATACTCGCCGTGAATGAATACTCGTTTTTCTTGTTCAGAGTTTAAATAGAAGAGGTGTTGAACATGTAAATAGAGGCAGAGTTAAAAAGTAGAGTTGTTGAACATGTAAATATCTGTATCTCGAGTAAATAGATGTCTCAACTCGATTCGATGTTCGGGAATAAAACATGGTAGATGCATAGCGGATCTATATGTTTGTGAATATATTCTTTGGGAAATTTGTTCCACAAGATTCGTTCATATATTACAAAGCTTTTGCTTTCAGATCCCCAGACCATGTGATTAGGTCATGAAAAAAATTATCAATCTATGAGGTCTTGTTTGGTTGACAAGATAAGATTAGCTAAGATAAGATTGAATAATGAAATCCAATTATTTCATTCGACCTTGTGACGTCCAATAAAAAAAACTACCGAGAAGGTAAGATAAGCTATGATAACATAATTTTGACGGGTCGATCCGGCAAATTATTGTTGATACCAAACTTCAAACAAAGTTCGAGTATTTAATTTAGTTTCCGGTTATATGCAAGACTAATTGCACTTGTGCAACACCAAATTAAATTTTTCAATGTATAAACACTATAACACCTTACTTGTTAAAAAAATAGAAAATTCCAAATGTGTAATACCAAAATCTCAAAAAAACAAAAAATCCTATGACAAAACCACAAGACCAACTCTCATCTTCTCTATCTTGCAAAACCCACAAAACCTTTTTGCTTCCTCCTCCATAAACCCACAAAATCTAAACATTCAAAATCATCAAAACTCAACAAGTCTTACAAAGATGGCAAGTATGGAGTTAAAAGACATCAAAATAGAAGATTCTACGGTAGAAGAACCCAAGAAGGTATGCATTTATGTGTTTTTTAGCTAGAATATCGTTTTCCCAAAAAAAATCCCGCGCAGACGCGGTCGACATTGAGATGTCGATTTTGGAGTATAAAATCGACACCTTGGTGTCGAAATTTAACTGTTAGCAAATTAGTCTAAATATACTAAATTTCGACATTAAGATGTCGAATTTATGGACATATATTCGACACCTTAATGTCGAAATTTAGTTGTTTCATATATTTTTTTTAAATCCCGCGCATACGCGGTCAACATGTACATGTCGAATTTTATAGGTAAAAATCGACATTGAGATGTCGATTTTGAAGTACAAAATCGACACCTAAGTGTCGAAATTTAACTGTTATTAAATTAGTCCAAATATACTAAATTTCGACATTAAGGTGTCGAATATATGTCCATATATTCGCCCCCTTAATGTCGAAATTTAGTTGTTTCATATTTTTTTAACTTTCTATTTTTCAATTACTTTTTATTTCAATACTCATTTATTTTTTATAGCAAAAGGGGAATGCGAAGACGCAGTTTATTGTTTAAATTCATCCAAGGTTTCAAAAATATGTCCAAGACATCAAGAACGGCGGTCGGTGGCGAAGCTTGGGGGTATGGTCGGGTTTCAAGGGGGGGGGGGGGGGGGGGTAGGTTTTTTTTAATTTCACGTTTTTTTTTTCATTATTTGTTATTTGGTCTTGTATGAGCAAACAAAAGCTAATTTAATTTATGGGTATATGTCATTTCATCTTAATAAAATTGAATCTTTTGGAATCTTTCTTTAATTTGGTCTTGCACAAGTGGAATTGGTATTGCATATAGCCGCAACCTTTAATTTAGGGTAAATAGCATTAAACCACCTGAACTTTTTAAGTTTTTGCGGATCACATCCTGAACAATTTTTTTTGCACGAGTTCACTTGTACTCAATTAATTGTGCCACTTTGCCATTTTTTGCCCGTTTCCAGGTCAAAATGACCGGTTCTGAACCCATGTGTGCTGCACATGCGAAATTAAAGGCTATTTTTGTCTTTTCCATTTAAAAATCCCTAATTCCTTTAATTTTTTCTCCATTTCTCTCGTATCTCCATTATTTTCCCTCTTCAATTAGCTAGAAATGAATTCCCTCATTCCCAAAATATTTGCATTTTCGAGCATTTCAAATTACGTTGTCGGGAAAAAGAACACTTGTAAATCTTCCACGTTTCAGCCATTAGATTATAGCTGTATTCGAAGAAATTCTCGAGTTTGTTGTCATCACTTTTGCAGCAGCTAAGGGAAATGATTTCAAGAATGGTGGCTGCTCTTTTCTAGGGCTGTGCGTTGGTTGGTTTGGTTAAAAACCAGGCATAAAACCAACCCAACCCATCCAACCAACTTTGGTAAATATTCAAAACCGTTATCGACCCAACTTACATGGGTTGGGTGATGGTTGAAAACCAATTTAATGGGTTGGTTGGTGGTTTGGTTGATGGGTCATCCATCTAAATATCTTTTAATTTTTTTTAATATTTTATTACTTGTTACAACACTATATCTGTTATAAATTAAATGCGACTAGTTCAATAATATTCAAATAAAAGATTCAAAACATTACGGGCATATATATTGCAATTAAACATAAATAGTTCGACGAATAATAATCGTCCAAATATTTAGACTGTATGTCTTAAAATTAAAATAGTTCAAATTAGATAATTAGGTTAGATTTATTGTTTTTAGGATTTTGGTCAATATTAAACAATTTAATAAATGTGATATAAAATAGAAATTTGAAATTAAAAATATTAAATATTTTAATTAAAATTAATAAATAATAAATTAATGAATAAAGTTGGTTGGCCGATATTAACCGACTAACCAACTTTTTAGCATATTAGAAACCATTATCGACCCAACTATACATGGGTTGGTTGACATTATCGACCCAACTTAAATGGGTCGGTTGATGGTTGATTAACCATCACAAATTGTGGGTCGAAAATGGGCTGATTGATGGTTAAAACCGATCCATGCACAACCCTACTCTTTTCTGCGGCTCTTTCGACACTCCGATTGTGCTGACTTCGATGAACTTCACCATTTTTCTAGCGACTGCTTCATCCTTAACAATCGCCCATCTTCACATAAAGAAAATAACACCGTTTATTCCGTAAAGATCAAATTATATAATATTGCATGAGATTGATAAGGAAGAATTTATTTTTTTGTCGAAAAATACCCGATTCTTGATCCTGCATGGCCAGTGCATTTGGAAACCGTGAAAAGCATGATGTCATGATCTGCAGAAGAATTAATTGCTGTATATTGTGGCCAATAGTAAGCAAGATCATGGACGGGCATTCCTTTGGCCCGATTAAGAACGGGCTCTATAATAAAACCGTCCGGGTTATTCGGAGTGGTCACCATCTCTATGTAGGGCCCGTCTTTGTCAAATGTTCGTGCATCGCCCGACCATTTGAATAGTCCGGACCGTGAAAAATCAGCCATCTCAGGATACGACTGCAAAAAAAAAAAAAAAAAAAAAAAACAATTAAGATCATGAACAAGAGGACTAATGATTTATCACATGTTTATTAATTTTTATTTTTATTTTTTATTTTTACATGTCCATGTTACTATGTTTGCCCACCTGTCAGAAGATGTTGTGCAATAAACCAATACTAAATCTCAGATGGAGAGACAAGGTTTGTCTCATGCATTACAACCCAGCCAAATGAGGAGATTTATGGGTGTTCTTTTTTCCGACAACGTAATTTGAAATGCTCGAAAATGCAAATATTTTGTGAATGAGGGAATTCATTTCTATCTAATTGAAGAGGGAAAATAATGGAGATAAGAGAGAAATGGAGAAAAAATTAAGGGTAAATTACACACACCCCCCTGAGGTAAGCTTAAATAACTGTAAGGTCCCTATGGTATCGATAATTACATTCACCCCCCTGAAAGGTAGTTAAAAACTCTAACATGATAATGCATTGGATACATTATTCCGATAGGGTTCTAATGGACTATTGGTTTCAGCAAGTGGTGAAGACAACTAAGAGTTATGGGTGATTTAAAAAATATTGGGGGAGCCATGTCACCCCATAACTCCCCATAACTCTATGTTATCTCCACAACTAGCTAAAAGTAATAGTCCATTAGAACCCTATTGGAATAATGTATGCAATGCATTATCCCGTTCGAGTTTTTAACCACTACCACAGGGACCTTACAGTTATTTACGCTTACCTCAGGGGGTGTGTGTAATTTACCCAAAAATTAAAGGAGTTAGGGATTTTTAAATAGAAAAGACAAAAATAACCTTGGATTTCGCATGTGCAGCGCACATGGCTTCAGAACCAGTCATTTTAACCTGGAAACGGGTAAAAAAGGACAAAGTGGCACAATTAATTGAGTACAGGTGAACTTATGCAAAAAAAAAATTGTTCAGGAGGTGATCCGCAAAAACTTAAAAAGTTCAGGTGGTTTAATGCTATTTACTCTTTAATTTATTATGGCTAATCTCCTCAACGAAACGAGATCTAAGTATTTTATAATTTTTTAAAAACTTATAGGATTTAAATTAAGTGTATTTTTGCCCCTTGAACTTACGTCTATTTTGCACTTCACCGCCCAAACAAAAAAAGAATTGCATGGCCATACCCGAACTTCATTGTTTGTTGAAACGATGTTGATTAATCTATTCACCGAATCAGTCACCAATTTTTTTTAATTAATTTGACGGAGAACTTCATTTTTATCCATCATGTTTCACTCGATTTCACTTTTCGTGCCGTCACATCTCCGTTCACAACTAACAAAAAACACTAATTTGGAGCTAAAATTAAAATTTAAAAATGTTTTGGGTCTAGAAATGAATATTATCTATATCTATATAATATATAAAAGTTGAATTCCACACCTAATTGATTGACATTTGGCAATTTCAATTGGTGACGTGTCCTCAATTTCATCCCATGTGGCGAATTAATTGGTGGAAATAAATCATCAAAAAACATGTCATCATTTTCCAAAATTAAAGATACTTAAAAATATTTAATTATTTTCGTAATATAATATCCTACCATGTATAAAATGCTCTAAATATATCGACTTTCTTGGAAACTCTAAATAAATTTATTTTTGAATTTAATTTTATAATTAATTTAAGTTGAATTTAGTTAAATGCAATTTAAAATCTTCCATTATTATAATTGCATGATTATTTCCGTATTTTAATTCATAAACTTGGATTTATATTAAAAACAATATTGCGGAATAAATTATTTAATATTATACATTTTACATGAACATGACTAAAGAATATGTTTTTTTTACTAATTTAATATTATATATTAATATTATCGATAAAAAGGAAAAATATATGTTCGAATTTACAATATTGCGAAAATTGACACTATTTTTTTCTGTCATGTATAGAGTAGTGTACTCCCAATTATTTATCATATTGAAATTATACTACATGAATTTCATGTTATTATTTAAAAGTTATTATTTCTTCACCGATTTCAATGACAATAAATTTTACGATTGATTTAACTTTTTTAAATTATATACTAATTAAAATGCAAACTTTATCATAATTATACTAATAAATTGAATAACACAAATTAAGTTTAATTAATTGATAAAAAAACGAATTAATTGTATATATTTCAAAATTTAACAATGTTATTCTAAACCTTTGATATTAAATTCGTTTATTTGTTTTATTTAATACCAGACATTAAGAATATCAATTGTTTTGTTTAAAATGTATATAATGAATTAATGATCGTATATACTCTATATTGTATTCACTAATAAGTATTTCATTATAACTCTTATAAGTATAATCAAGTAAATATCTAGAGACCCGCAAGGGTGGCCTAGCGGTTGGAGCAAGGGAGCTTGGGTCAATTGACCCAAGTTCGAATCCCCTTGTCAACGGTCGCTAGGTCGTGCTTGTCACACATGGTTAGCCTAGTGTGGTTTACATCTCTCGTATGGTTTGCAAGCTATTATACGAGAGTGTAGGTTTACCCAGTGCACCTATATGGTTGGCTGCGGGTTCCTGCATTACCAAAAAAAAAAAAAAAAAAAAAAAAAGTAAATATCTAGAGCAACTCTAACTGAAAAATATCAAAATGAGTTTGCAAATATATATGTGCTATTTAATATTTTATTTTGATATTTATCTAAATATATTTGCTCCAACCATAGGTATTAAATACTTGTTAATTAAATATAATTAAATTTATTTATATATCTAATTGCCACGTGTTATATTCTAAATGGACACTGAGGTGGTTAAATTCATAACTCATGTTTGATATTTTATTATGCATGATTGCATAATGATTCTGAAAGATGAAATATCAACATACAACCTCATTTCATAACACTATTGGAATAAAAAATCACTATTTTTAAGTATGAAAATGGTGGTTAAAGTTTTTGATAGCTCATTTAATAACCAACCCCACTCGAGGTGCTAGTTTATATTAACAAATACAATATCAATCGGCAATTCAGTAGTTTCTACGATCCATTTTTAGTTACAAACCCAATAAGATATTTATATATTACATAAAGGACTACAATTATATGAAAAATAATTGCATAATTATGTGTGTGTCTTTTCTTTTTTTTGAGTAAATGTGTGTGTCTTTTCAAATTGAGAAAGATTGAGCAATATTATGGCTATGGATGGAAAAAGTTATTAAATATCAAGTAAAATAGTATACCAACAAAATATTATCTATAAAATAGCAACTTAGTGGTTGTCATTTCATTTGCACCATATTGGTACTATATCGAACTTATATGAGATTTACAAAAATCCAATAGCGTGGGTAAAGAAATATATGGACAATCTATCATTGGGAAAAAAGTATGTCCAGCTACAAATATTCTTACTAATTTTTAAATTAAAATTTTAAACCATATGAAAATAAAACTATTAATGTAGGGTATTATAGTGTAAATCATTATTAAATATTTTAACATTGTATATATCTCACTATATTTTGGTATTGGAATACATGACTTCTTTTGTCTAACTTACAAGTTATGTATCTAACTTAGTGAAATATCTTAAGTTTTCTATTTCCCCATCATACATAATAAGTTTTATTTATTTTCTTAATTTCTATTTTAGAAATTTTTGTAAAATGAAATTATTTATTGTATAATGTTTATAAGAATCAAATATTGATTCTATATCTCTATTTTTTTAATCACAATATATTCGACTGATTTACACAAAAATCCAATTAAATTTTATTTTTTCATATTTTATTTATATAAGCATTTTATAGTGACTTTTGTTTACTTGAAAGTTGATATATTTTCAATAGCATCAGCCCTTATGTTAATTTCTAACATATGGTCACACGTGTAAATAAGTTTAAGTTGTATATTAACAAGGATAACTTATGAAAACCCCCTAAACTTAGGCTAAATTAAGAAAAACACCCCCACATATTCATAATTACCAAATTCCCCTCATGTTTGTTTGCGTCTTACATCGACCCCCTTATGGTATGAATTTTCAAGTAAATTTTTTATTACGTTGAATATTCCCCGAAAATGCTGATTATACCTTGTACACGTGATATTTCTTTATGGTACTTTTTAAAGACAAAAATTACCCTCAGGGGGACTTTAATCGAAATCTATATTCTTCTTAAATAATAGTTTCACATTTTTTTATTACTACCATGACCACCCCTAAGGGTAATTTTTGAATTTAAAAAGTACGATAAAAGAAATGTCACGTCTGCAAGGGTATAATCCATATTGTTTGGGATGTTACATGCAATAAAAAATATTCCGTAAAAAATCACAACATAAGGGGGTCGTGTAAGACAGAAACAAACATCAGGGGGATTTTGGTAATCACCGATAAGTGGGGGTGTTTTCTGTAATTTAGCCTAAGTTCAGGAGGATTTTCATAATTTATCTTATTAACTACGATTATTGTTCTTTTACGTCGTAACTTTTGCCTATACCCTTATAATATTTTAAATAATTTTAATATTACTTTGATAATATAATTAAATATTAATTTCTAATATATTTAATATGTGTTTTTTGATCCTTCAGCTACCACACATAAGAAATTTGATATAAAGGTTCGAGATTGAATATAATTGTTTTTTTTTTTTATAGAAAATAATAGATCATTGAAAAAAAAAACAATTGATGCAAAATCAGAACTTGTGATTAAAATAAGTATTAGAATTCGAATTATAATTAATATTCTTTGAATTAGTATTAGTATTAATACTAGAAATAGGATTCGGATAGTAATTAGGATTAATATAATATTATAATTAATATTATTAGGATTATGATTAATATTAATATTAGAATTATAATGAAGATTATGATTATGCTTAGTACGATAATTAGTGACATGTATTAGTATTAGTATTAGGATTCTGATTAGCATTAGGATTGGGATTGGAATTATAATTAATATTAGAATTAGAATTAACATTAGCATTAGCATTAGCATTATTAATATTAAATTTATGGGGCTTAAGATATAAGTCCCTAGTGACAAAACTTCTTGGAACTAAATGACAAGCTTAACTAAACATTTGCTACACATCTTTTATAAAATTCGTTCCAAAAATACCCTTCAATACACAAATTCGAATTCTGCATTAAGTAAAATTAAAATTGCATTTATCATCCTTTTAGTTTTTTTTTTTTTTTTGAGTAAATTCAAGTCCATTACAAGGGGAAGTAGGGGAGGGGGGGACTCGAACCCTAGACCGTTACCCTATTGGTAAAGGCTAGGTACCAACTCTCCTAATGATGGTTGGTTATCATCCTTTTAGTTTGCATCTAATATTTTCATTGTTCATCTAATATTTTCATTTTTTTTTATAGCAAACACATGTTTTT